GCAACGCTGAGCAAGGCGCATGCTGACCCGGAAAACGTCTGTAGATGTTCTGGCTGGGCTGCATCTCGTAGTGGACCTAGAGGCTGAAACTAAGACAGAACTCAACCACGCGCCCCACGGGACCTCGATTCGCAGGTCCCCAGAACGCACACTTCCAGAAAGTATCCGGGAAAAGTTATTTCAAGAACTTGAGTGGTATCATTCGTCCGAGAATGCGCCCAGGCATCTCAGACCCGGCAGATAGTGGAGGCACGCTGCCCTGAGTGCGATACCGATGACCAATCAACAAACCCGAGCTGCCATAAACGCGCTGTTTACACAACCGCCCTAGGTGTGCACAAGATGAATCTATGTTGAAAACGCCTGCAAACGAGTTCTAAGTAAAGCACAGGGATCAGAGGCGAGGGAAAAGAAGGGGAGGAGAGCTACACGATAGTCCAGGGCCAATCAAACCCAACATCCACCTAGCTCTGCGAGCCTGCGCGCACCGAGCCCATGGCGCAGCTCCACCCACGCAAAGCTGATATTAACAGCACAGATACGCAAGAACGCAGCATCAAACGGCACATTCAGGGCACGCCACTACGCCAGCGAGACCCAGCGGCACTCCTCCGGGTCGAGGTACGCGATCTTCGCGTGGCCGTCCAAACAGACCAGGCGGACTACTCCCGTGGCTGATTGCGCCGCGACGCGGAGAGGTTTCCACTGCCCGCCGGCGATCAGGGACAACGGGCTGGTCCAGGCCCATCAAATCAAAAACAACCAGTACCGCAATTGGCATAGGCTGCGAGAAACCAAACTGCGCCCCCCGCGCATCTGGCTCGCAAGAAGCAGTCGTCTGCGCCGAGACCATGTTCCTGATCTCACACACGGTGGGATCCGCGCGCGGGAGCGAACGGCTGCTGACCGCCCCCTCGCAGGCAGGCCTGACCGCCGACGGCGCGCGCATCAAAAAGACCTCGCCCCCCGGCTGGCAGAACCAGCCGCCCTTCCCTGCGCGCCCCGCCCGAGCCAACCAGCTGGCGCACTCGGCGCGGACCTCCTCGCCGACCTCCTGGGAGATGCTCTCCAGGTTCCCCGCCGGGCCAGCAACGTAGCTGGAAGGGTCGATCGCCCCGACGCCGTCGAACTCGCGAAAAAACTGGCCCGCCAGCCCCCGAGGCACCAAACCACGCACCAGCTCGCGAGGACTGCAACCCGCGCAATCGGCTCGGGGCGCGGCGCGAAGAGCCCACTGCGCCAGCTTTGCCCATCTGGCCCACTTCGATGGGTAGGCTGAGCAATGCGCCGCAAGCACCTGGTTGATTGTCGCGCGGCGCCCCTCGATGCAGCCCTGGCCCCCCAGGTGGAGCGCCGATCGAAAACGCGCAGAATGCCCGGGGGCTGGTCGGCGGCGGCGGCGGCCGCCAGCACCGTGAAGGCTGGGCCGCGATCGACGCGAAGGGCGGCAAAAAAGACCGCGAGATCCAGGACGGCCCCCAACCAAAACTTGGCCCACTCCTCCGCCGCGTTGGCGCGCGCTGAACGCGCCCACGCCCACCGCGTGAATGGGCGCTCGGCATAGCAGATGCACTCCTTGCCGCGGTCCTTCGGGCGCGCGGGACCGATAGCGTCGACGGATATAATCCGAAACGGACAGTCGCGCAGCTACACCCCCTGTTCGGCCGCGATCCCAGGTCTTGGCTTCACAGGTTGGCGAACCGAGCAGTGGCTGACCCAGTGGGCGATGTCCCTCTCGAGCGCAGGCCACCACGCCACCTCCCGCGGCTTCGCCGTCGCGCCCTTCACGCCGGCGCGGGCGCCCACGCTCTCTGAGCGGCGCGCCAGCAACAGCGCGCGCCCCGGCGTCAGCTTGCACCGGCGCCGTTGAAGATGAAGGCGCGCAACCAATCCTGCAGGAACCACCATGCGTCGACCATGGAGTTGTCAACTGGGTCGAAGACCTTGCCCAACACAAGCTCGTCGACATGGGTGCAGTTCGCTGAGGCCCTCACTGTGGCCCCCGCCCGCTTGCTGTTTCCCTTTAGGTTCTCGCCACCCAAGGCGTCGGGCACCTTGCGGAGTACCCTGTCATCGGCTACCTGCCTGTGGTCGGCCAAGATCACCGCGGCGCACTCGACCTCGAAAACGATGCCGCGGGCGATGATGAATCGGCGAACTGCGGCGGGTCGGCTCGCTGCAAGCGAGAGGGTTTTTTTCTTCCGAAGTCCAGCGGTGACCCCACGATGTCGCCCTTGGCCGCGACGACCTCAGCAGGCTGCTCTGCGGCTGCAGGCGCACGGCGGATCGCATCGCCCTTCTGCGAACAACCCCCAAGCGCAAGCCCGCCGCGAATCCGCCGCGCCATGCGACCACCGCGAGACACCGACTCTTGAAAGGCGCCGCTGCACATCGCCCCCTCAACGCGAACGAGGCACTCACGGCCCAGGACTCCAGCGCCGCCTCGGCCACAGCGGCGGCGAAGATCGCGCCGAAGTTTTGCAGCTCGGAGACGGCGCCCCCTGAATCTCCTGGACGAGCCCCCCCGGGCACAGCGCCGAACTCCGCGTCGCGGCGGCGCCCGCGAAACGCTTTGGGCGAGGATTTGGACACGAACACACACCACCGGTCTTCGCCGCAACCCCCCAACAGTCTACGATCCAGGCAAGGGCCGCCCTCCACGAATCACCCGCCACGCAGTCACCCGCGCGGAACAAGTCGATCCCCGGCATGCCCGCGACGCCCAGAATCTCGCAGAACAGCTAGAGGTAGGCGAACAGGGGCTGCTCCACCAGCGCCGCGCCCGACCGAGCAGCCGATGCAATGGCCGCGCCATCTTGTTGGTCATGCAAATGCAGAAGCCGGCCTCATGGGCTGCCTCGTCGCCGCAGGGGTTCTCCTCGGGGCGGACATTCGCCTTGGGGGTCGCGTGCTCAATCGTCGCGCGGCGGCATGGGAAGGCGAAGTCGCGGGCGCCCTTCGGGCCCCGGCCCCGCGGCTGAGCCTCCCAGAAGCATCGCCCTTAAAGTAGTCGCCCTCCTTGTCGACGCGGTCGCAGTAGCGGGCGGCCGCACCTTCGGCAGACCCCCAGGCACGAGAGAGCACGCAACCGCCCCCCTCCTCGACACCTGAGAAGACCTCGACCAGCACGCGGCCCCGCAGCGGAAGGTCAGCAGACGCCGCTGGGACGGCGGCCTCGACTGGGCCCTCGGCGGTCGCGCCACGGCCGCTGCACCGCCAGCACTGCGCCCCGGACCCGCTGCACCAGACGACCGTGCAGTCCTTGAAGAGGCCGCCAACTGGAATCAGGGCGTCTCGCCCTGGCCCCCAGATGGCAATGCCTTAGCAGCCGAAGTTAGGCTGGGCTGGGTGCAAGTAGAACTCGGAGCCCCCGCGAGGATCTCCACGCTGCCGGATGCGACCACGCCCTCGAAGTCCCCCTTGCCGATGCACTCGTCGACGTTCTCAGCCTCGTTGCCAGGTGCCGGGACCCCTCTGGCGCGGGACCAGGCCTGCCCCTCGACCACGCGGCGATCTTCGGCATGAGCTGGACTTCCTGGCGGGGCTCCGCTGCGGCGGCAGCGATGCCACATGGTCTGAGCGCAGCGCCCAGGCGTAGTCCGAGCAGTCGACGTAGAGCTCGAAGGGGCGGCCCGAGTCGACATGGCCAGCAGCCTCGTAGTCTGGGACGCGCCAGATAGCGCCCTCAGCGACGGCGCCCCGCAAGTCGTCGAAACCTCATGGGCCATGCCGCCGGCGAGCTTGGCGCTGAACTTCGCGCCCTCCCTGGCGCGCGGCGCGAGGCGCTGCTCATGGTCGTGTAAGGCAGGCACGAACTCCACGATGAAGTAGACGAAAGCACGGAAACTGACGATGTCGTCGACACACTTGGGCGTTGGCCATTTTCGCACCGCCTCGACCTTCATCGGATCGACGCGAAAGGCGCCATTGCCGACGGCGAACCCCAGCAGCGGCACCTCCAGCTGCGCCAACAAGCACCTGTCGAGCTTGAACTGCACCCCTCTGGCCTCGGCTGCCGTCTGCAGGGCAGCGAGGTGCGGGATGCGCCTGTCGACTATGTCGTCGTGGGCGTCGCCCTCGTAGCCCTCCGCGCTCACGCTGACGTCGTCGATGAATTAAGATGGCCGTGACCTCCTCGTCGCTCCCGTTCTTCACCTCTCCGAACGTGCCGTCCATGATGCTCTGGGGGACGCCTGGTCCTTGCTTGGCGCCGAGGAACAGCGCGCAGGGGCGTAACACCCCGCGCCGCGTGACCAACTGCAGAAGCTCGGCCGTCGCGTCGTCCACCGCGATTTGCGCGACGCCCTCCCAGACGCAATCCAAGGCGCTGCGCATGGCACCCCGCTGCGCACGCGCACGGCACTTGGACGCAGGGGGCGAAGACCACGGCGCGTCGAGCGTCTGGCTGTTGACGTAACTGTAGTCACGCACCGCGCGATCCAGCAGGCCCTTGTTCGACTGGTCCACCACGAACGACGGCGACCCCCATTGGACTGGTTGCCCCTGCGGCACCCACTCTGCCTTGTCACCCTCCACCTCGCCGTCCTCGTGGAGCTGGAGTCTCAGCTGGTCGACAGCGGAAAGCGGCAACGGCTGCTGAACCTTCGGGACGGCGTCGCGCCTGACATCGATGTGGGCGACGAAGTTATTGATATGTGGAGCGGCGCTGCCCAGCATCCAGAAGCACGCCGAAAACGGCATGAGGATGTTCTGGATGAAGCGATAGCGCTGGGCCTGCGTCAGCTGCTTGCCGATGTTCTTACCAGCCACCTTGGCCACCTCCGTATCGTACTCCTTCGAGCGCTGGTCGGGCCATTTCTGGCCAGCGCGTTTTTCCTTTTCGCGTTGCTTCTGGCCTCGGGTCACGTAGTTCGTCTTAAGGAACTCGTCGGCCTTCTGCGCCTGAATCGAGACGCCATCCTTCGTTGGGGCCACTGCCCGCGCGGCGTCGGCCCGAGCCTCCTCCACCACGCAGAACTTTCGTGATGATTCTTCTCGGCCTGGCTGGCGTAAGAAAACAGTTTGTCGTCCGTCTCCGTCATGGGCTTTGCCGCGACCAACCGATCCCCGGGCCCGACCCGAAACGAGCCCGACACGAGGAAGCTGGCATAGCACGCGTTGCCCTGGCAAGCACTGGGGCCCCCGATCAGCTCTAGTCCGGCAGGCAAGTCGGGGCCAGCCTCCAGCCACCACCGGTTTTTCTGCAACTCCTCGGAGACGTCGACCTCGAGACTCTGCAAAGCCGAACGTTCGCCTGGGGGCGGGGGGGGGAATATCACGTGGCGGCAAGAAGATGTGGAACGCGGGTTTTTCAACACATCAATACATGCTTAGCGTGCGCCAGCGCTTAAGCCAAAAGGCGGCACAGCATCTTATTTGAGTGAGGAGGAGGAGGAGGAGGAGGAGGAGGAGGAAGAGGTGGAGAGAAAGGAGGAGGAGAGAACGGAAGAGGAGGAGGAGGCAGGAGGAGGAGGAGGAGGAGGAGGAGGAGGAGGAGGAGGAGGAGGAGGAGGAGAAGGACGAGGAGGACGAGGAGGAGGAGGAGGAGGAGGAGGAGGAGGAGGAGAGAAAGGAAGAGGAGGAGGGAGGACGACGGAGGAGGGAGGCGACGCCGCGGCCGAGGCCTCGCGCCCTGCCCGCCCCTTGCGCGAGGGGCGCCGCCTGCGGCACCGACTTGGGCGCCGTGCCGGGGGTCACGGCGGGGGGCTGCGGCGGCCGCGGTCCGCCGCCAGGCGCCACCGACGGCCGCGCGACGCCGCCGCCGACGCCGACGGCCGCGCGACGCCGCCGCCGACGCCGATTCCCCGACTCCGACGCCGACGACCACGCTGACGACCACGCCGACGAACACGCCGACCACGCCGACGAACACGCCGACGCCGCCAGCGACGACGGCGACGACGCCCAGAGGGGCGGGGCGCGGCGCGGGGCGGTGCGGGGAGCTGGAGGACGAGCTGGGAGGGGCAACGATGGAGAGGGGGATCAGCTCAGGGGGGGGACATCAACCTGAGATTGGCGATACATCGAGTGGCAAATCCGCACTTTCCTAGGCGGGGTGGGCTATCGGGCCCCCGTCGGCGATCAGTGGGCGATCGGGGGTCTATGCATCCCCTACTGAGCCTATCCCCCCTATCGTGGCCTCGTGGTTCTCGGGCACGGCCGTTCGGGACGATTTTGGCGGCACCAGACCTTTCTCGGCGAGGCGCAGCCGCTGGAAGGCATCCCGAGACTGGAAAGCAGACCAAAGCCAACGAAAACGTCCGAAAACCAAGGGACTGAAAACAAACATCCTGAGCGCATACCCCCCAAAGATTGCCACTGAGACGTGAGGACGGGCGGTTTTTAGCCGCGTTCGACCTCTGGGGCTCACGGCGGTGCTGCTGCTGCCGCGGTCCACCGCAACGCCGCCGCGACGGCCGCACGACGCCGCCGCCGGCGGCGCAACTCCCAGATCTCTGGCGATCTGATGTTGTTCCCAACCATTATGTGTAGCGCCCCGTGATCTCCTCCCGCCTCCTCCTTCCTCCCATCCGTGCCTCTGCCCTCCGCACGTTCACCACTTCGGCACACCCCTCGCACGGTTCGTGGCCCCATAGGGAGCTCCACCGAAGGCTCCAATGGGAGGGTTTCCATGGTACCACCGCACCCACTTCGGCACACCCCTCATACGGTTCGTGGGACCATAGGGAGCTCCACCGCACCCAATTCGGCACACCCCTCACACGGTTCGTGGCCCCATAGGGAGCTCCACTGAAGGCTTCAGCGGGAGGGTTCGCATGGCACCACCGCACCCACCTCGGCACACCCCTCACACCGGTCGTGGCCCCATAGGAAGCTCCACTGAAGGCTCCAATGGGAGGGTTCGCATGGCACCACCGCACCCACTTCGGCACCCCTCTCACACCGTTCGCTGCCCCATAGGAACTCCACCGAAGGCCCACCGCACCCACTTCGGCACACCCCTCACACCGTTAGTAAGGAGCTCCACCAAAAGCGGTACTCCAGATTTCGTAAGAAAGGGAGGGGGGTCTCATTTCGGGGGGTCTCTTCCAGGCCATCTTGGAGGGCCTGGGGGGGTCTGGGGACGATGTTTTGGAGGGTTCTCCCACGGGGGGGATCTGAAATGGCTTGTCTTGGAGGGTCCACCCCCTCCCTTTTATTACGAAATCTGGAGTACCCCTAAAAACTCAAGGACAGTCCAACAGGCCCGGGCAGAGCGCCAAGACATTCGAAGAAAGCGTCATGACGGCCAAGGGTACCCCACAACGATCCAAGATGGCTTCAAGATGGTCCACGAGGTCCCCAAGGCAGCTCAAAAGCACCTCCTGGGGATCGCCGAGAGGGCCCCAAGAGGCCAAAATCATCCCATCCCCTCGAAAAACATGCATTATCACGTTCGCATTTACGACGGCCCAAGTGGCCCCCAAGATCGTCCCAAGACGGCCCACGATGCCTGCAAGAAGGCCCCAAAACGGCCCAAGAGAACCCAAGACAGCCCCTGGGCGGCCCCAAGAGGGTTCCAATACAGCCCAAGAAGGGGAATACGAACTGACAATGTCGAGCCTTTCCCACAAGCCCCCGAGGGCCTTCCGAGAAACCCCAAGCGGCCTCGAAGACGCCACCCAGAAGGCCCCCACAGGTCCCCACGATGCCCCAAAAAAGCATCCCACGTGCCCCCAAGATTTTTCCAAGAGGCCCCAGACAGGCATCCCAAGAGACCCTCAGATTCATCCTGGAGGCCCCTGACCCAAACTATAACTTCCACGATAGTATCAAACGCTCCCTCCCGGCGGGGGTCGGCAGAATGGCGAAGGCCACTTGAATCCACGTCCGGAAGTGTCGCGCTGAGCAGCAGCGTTTTCTGCGGAAGCGATAACTAGTGCAACGTAGCCAGTGTATCCAAGAGCTGTATAATTGCTACATATTGCATTGTGTTACATGATTATGTATCCCCCCCAGACCCCTCCTTGGAGTCGCGCCATTCCGAGGTGCCAAATTTGACGGCCACCATGTCTAGCTCTCAAAACCTTTCAAGATTGGAAAACCACGATTCGGGCCCCTTGGGGGCCAAGAAGGCCACGAAATGGCACAAGATGCCCACGGGGCCGGCCAAGCCGGCCCTAAGACGGCCCAAGATGGCCCCACGAGCACTTATGAGGCCCTCGAGACGGCCCAAGGGGGCCCCAAGAGCGCCCACAGCAGCGCCTCCAAAGACCAAAAACGTTGTTGCTCCTATGGTTTCTCGCCTGCTTCGACTCTCCTAAACCATGACGGCCAAAGCAACAACCAAAATTGCCCCGAGAAGGCCCAACAAAAGCGCAATTATCCTGTGACGTACCCAACCCATTTGTATCATGGGAAACGAGGAGTTGGCCGAAACTTGCATGGACAATCAAATTGCAGGATCCGTTGTTTGATATGTAAGCTACTTGGGACACGCGCCTATGGCATGATGCGCAGGAGAACCATACAAGAACGAGAGGCGACAACTACAGGCTCGAAGAGGACATGGGGAGTCGGGAACGAAGAGCAGGAGAAAGACGTGCGGGAAGCCCACTGCGCTGGGCCCCCCAGCAGCCCTCGAAAGTGGCGACAGTTTCACAGATCGCAGCCCCCCAGGGATGGCGAGGTCTAATTTGAATGGGTCACTGTGCTGGGCCCCCCAGCAGGCCTCGAAAGTGGCGACAGTTTCACAGATCGCAGCCCCCCAGGGATGGCGAGGTCTAATTTGAGTCCGCGTGGGTACCCACTGTGCTGGGCCCCCCAGCAGGCCTCGAAAGTGGCGACAGTTTCACAGATCGCAGCCCCCCAGGGATGGCGAGGTCCATTTGAGTCCGCCGTGGTACCCACTGTGCTGGGCCCCCCAGCAGGCCTCGAAAGTGGCGACAGTTTCACAGATCGCAGCCCCCCAGGGATGGCGAGGTCCCATTTGAATCCGCCGTGGGTCACTGTGCTGGGCCCCCCAGCAGGCCTCGAAAGTGGCGACAGTTTCACAGATCGCAGCCCCCCAGGGATGGCGAGGTCTAATTTGGGTCCGCGCGTGGCGTCACTGTGCTGGGCCCCCCAGCAGGCCTCGAAAGTGGCGACAGTTTCACAGATCGCAGCCCCCCAGGGATGGCGAGGTCTAATTTGAATCCGCCGTGGCCCTCACTGTGCTGGGCCCCCCAGCAGGCCTCGAAAGTGGCGACAGTTTCACAGATCGCAGCCCCCCAGGGATGGCGAGGTCCCATTTGATCCGCCGTGGGTACCCACTGTGCTGGGCCCCCCAGCAGGCCTCGAAAGTGGCGACAGTTTCACAGATCGCAGCCCCCCAGGGATGGCGAGGTCCCATTTGAGTCCGCCGTGGGTACCCACTGTGCTGGGCCCCCCAGCAGGCCTCGAAAGTGGCGACAGTTTCACAGATCGCAGCCCCCCAGGGATGGCGAGGTCACATTTGAGTCCGCCGTGGGTACCCACTGTGCTGGGCCCCCCAGCAGGCCTCGAAAGTGGCGACAGTTTCACAGATCGCAGCCCCCCAGGGATGGCGAGGTCCCATTTGAGTCCGCCGTGGGTACCCACTGTGCTGGGCCCCCCAGCAGGCCTCGAAAGTGGCGACAGTTTCACAGATCGCAGCCCCCCAGGGATGGCGAGGTCAATTTGAGTCCGCCGTGTGTACCCACTGTGCTGGGCCCCCCAGCAGGCCTCGAAAGTGGCGACAGTTTCACAGATCGCAGCCCCCCAGGGATGGCGAGGTCCAATTTGAATCCGCCGTGTGTACCCACTGTGCTGGGCCCCCCAGCAGGCCTCGAAAGTGGCGACAGTTTCACAGATCGCAGCCCCCCAGGGATGGCGAGGTCTAATTTGAGTCCGCGGTGTACCCACTGTGCTGGGCCCCCCAGCAGGCCTCGAAAGTGGCGACAGTTTCACAGATCGCAGCCCCCCAGGGATGGCGAGGTCTAATTTGAATCCGCCGTGTGTACCCACTGTGCTGGGCCCCCCAGCAGGCCTCGAAAGTGGCGACAGTTTCACAGATCGCAGCCCCCCAGGGATGGCGAGGTCCCATTTGAGTCCGCCGTGGCGTACCCACTGTGCTGGGCCCCCCAGCAGGCCTCGAAAGTGGCGACAGTTTCACAGATCGCAGCCCCCCAGGGATGGCGAGGTCCAATTTGAGTCCGCCGTGAGTACCCACTGTGCTGGGCCCCCCAGCAGGCCTCGAAAGTGGCGACAGTTTCACAGATCGCAGCCCCCCAGGGATGGCGAGGTCCCATTTGAGTC